GACGCCGTGTCTACCAGCAGGACTCGTTGGAGCAAAGGGTTGCTTTGCTCTTTTACGTTTTTTCCCTGTAGATTAAATAAAAGTCAATGTTGCTACACAGCTAATTGGCTTAATTTCAGCATCAAAGTTCACATCAAATCAAATCAGTTCAAATCAATGCGAGTACAAGTGAATATTGAGACTGAAGCGTGCTAGACCAAAGCTTTATTCAAATAGTGAGGAAAATGTCAGCGAGTCCAGATAAGAGGTCTAATTACTGGAAACACCTTTGTGCGTGCACAATGAGTGTGAAAAGGCTGTAATATTATTCTGCAGTTTAGTGGGGATTAACACAAGATGTTTCCAAATATAATTTGATTCCTACTCGCCGCCGCCATTTTTTCATAACCTGCCTGAATGTAACAAAGAAAAACAATTTAAAGCCGAATCAAATGCTTCAAACGTTGAGCGGGTTGGCTTCGCATGAGCTCTCACTTCTGGTATTCTGGTATGACGTCAAAGTATGAGACCAGAATCAGGGGGATGTTTCCGTCACGGTCAGAACGGGCTTCAGCATTTGTCAGGAGGATCTTTTGGGACAAAATCATCATCAATGTCCCCTCTTCCCTCGACCCCGAGAAGACCTTTTACCTTTTAGTCCCATCCCCTTGACAACTGCAGACTGACAGTGACATTCTGTCGAGGAGAACTCCTACGTGTGCATGTGTGTAAGTTCTGTGGGTGGAACAGTCACCTTGATCTCACGATGAAGAGAAATGACCTTCTCAGGTCTCGCGTCGCTGTTTGAAGCTTTCAATGACAGAAAAAGCAGCGGATGCTCAGACTGACAGCAGTGAAATTTAAAGAGAAAACCGGAGGCGGAGGCTGACAAAGACCGAGGAAAAGATCCTCAGAGACAGAAAGACAAAGGGAGCGATGGAATGATAGATTTGAGAATTGTTTTATCAACATAGCTGATATTTGTCTTTCATTGTTTCAGCACCACTGTCATATAAGTAAAGGTTATTTGAATCTGAGTGAGGGGGCGACGGAGGGATAGAGAGCGGAGATGGAAAAGGAGACAGTGAGAGAAAGGTTAAGTCCTCTGATAACCAGCCTCAAGGAGGGTTTGGATAACAGCACAGTTACACAAATACAAATACACAGGCACCAGACAAATGTGTGACTGGACCCGTGTAACGGTTAACAACCTCAGCTAAGTGAAAGGAAAGAAAAAGCGCCTAGAAATCATCGTTTCATCTTTCTGTCTCATACTCTCCTCCCGAATTCTTTGTTCATCCTTTTTTTTTGTATCTTCCTGTGATCAACGCCTGTGAGGTTTTTTTCGCTGAAATTTGTGTTTTTCTTAATTGATGTGTGTCTACTTGGATGGAGCAGTCTGCAGTTGCCGTGGAAACCAAGTGCCATTACCACTTGTGGACCGTTTTCTGTTGTACCGTAGTGTCACAAAGGGAAAACTGGGAGGAGGCATTGGAGTGAGAAAGATAAATGCAGCAGGAAAGGCTAAAGTGAAATATGAGAGAATGGTCTCACGGGTCAGAAATGGCAATATTTAGTCTTTTTATTTCTAATCAGGTTTTTTTTGCACAGGGGGTTTTCACAATTGGGGGGAAAACAGTAATCTGTGAATTTACCAGGCCAGTATTCATCACAGATACTGTTGTAGCTGCTTCATGCCAGATTATTGCATCCGCTGGATGTTATGCAGAAATCCGGTTGAGAAGAGCTCTACTTTATGCCAGTGCCCGTCCAAGGTTCACCCTCCGGCACAGACACAGGACTGCAATGCTAAGCGTGGATACAATTATTATCTTAAAATACTGTCAATACCCGGTTGTTAACATGTTATAAAATAGATTCGGTTTCCGGGGTAAATAAACTGTGACTCAAGGAATTAACAAAGTACTTGTGTGCGTAGCACAGCTGCAACTTCGGGTCATAATTCTCCAGTCGGAGCATAGACTGTAAACCACATACCCGCTGCAGCACAAACACACAGCTATTGATCACGTTAGGCCTGAGACAGCCTTGTCATTGTCGACTTGGGCTCTGAAGCAATTTTTGTGTAGGTCATGCAAAGGGTGTTGCAAATACCATGTTCTTCATGCAACGCCCACTGACCTCAAAACCATTGCTCCAAAACCCAATTATTGTTGTGTTTATCCACCGCGCGCTCGGGTGTTATTCTGACTCGAGAGTAAATCATCCACAGAAGATGCAAAACCTCCTCGGGTTATAAAGTGGTTGAATACTAATTATGATCAGAATAACAAATCGCTCATACCACTTTCTTCATTTGTTGAAATGCCATATCGTGGCTGTGTGCTTTATCAGAGAAAGGTTTTGTTTTCCACCAATACAATTGTTATCACTTATCACCATCTTTAATTACTAGCTCACAGAAGGCACGGAGCGCTGCTACGTTTGAACAAGAAATATATACAAAAGTATTGTTTTCTCATTCTTATCTCATTTTTGAGTGCTAGATGCTGTCGGAGAATTCAGTTAAAACCGTTGACTCATATATTGCAACATTACTCATTCAGTCAAACCTACCATTTTATTTAATTTGCCTTCTATTAAAATGTAACTACCAGAGGTAACTTTAATTAAGGTACATTTGTGTCTCAAGAATTAGTTTTATTTTGCTTTTGAAACTTTTATATTTTTATACTCCCGTGTTTATGAATTAAGCAGAGTGAAGCACGCAGTGGCTGGAACTCATGTTGCTATTTTGTTTTCACTCTCTCTTTCACCAAGGATCGCGTATATTGGACGGACTTGGAGGATGAAGCGATATACAGTGCAAACCGACTGACGGGACATGACGTGGCAAAGGTGGCGGAGCACCTCAACAACCCCCTGGACCTGGTGGTGTTTCATGAACAGAGGCAGCCTAAGGGTAAGACAGGCAGCTCCTTCACACTGCAGTTTGGAGACCTCACGGATCTCCCAGCAGAGCTACTTCACACTACACCCTGGTGTCAAACACAATAGGTTAATGTTGGCTTGGTGTTGGTCTATAACATTATGGATTGTCCATTTACAGTAGTATTGATGTTCTGTGTCAAATACGGTCTTATGATCTCATATTTTCCCTCAGTATGCAAACGACCACTTGCATGTGTGCTTGTAACTGTATGCGTGTGGTTTTATCTGTGTGTGTGTGTGTGTGTGTGTGTGTGTGTGTGTTTGCAAGCAATTTGCTTGTGTGAGTCTTTGTTTCCCTCCTTTACTCAGAACTCAGTCTGAGTGCCGCTTGGAGCTAATTGCATTCTCTCATCAATAAATCAAGACTTTTTGTGCCAAAACAGATGACAGGAATAAAGACAGTGTGTAAACTTGGCAGATATTGAATACGTAGAATGGATGAATATGTTCTAATCGGTGTATAATCAGCCATAAGAAATTGTGATGTTTTCCATGGCTCATTAAAAGGAGCAGGTCGTCTTCCACGAAGTCGGCCATATTGCACCGCCACGTTTCACCAGCAGCGTGGAACGGACACTGGCTCCAGAGATCTCCATCTGCATTTCACCACATCTGAAGATAGGGAAGGGTTGTAAAAACAGCATCGGATGGGGGGCTGGTAATGGATAATTAAAGATTATGGTATTGATAAGCTCCACGGTTGGTGGTGTTTAATTAGTACTTTTTTGTTTTGGTGTAATTAAATGTAATTTTACATATCCAGACGTAGTAATTGCTTTATATTAATACCTCGCTGTTGAGCCCCATTTGTTTTTTTAGTACTGAATTCACAGCTGATAGTTGGAGTTTAATTCCGACAGTCATTCACGTTGCGTTCTTGATGTGTTAGAATATTGCACGCAAAGCACCAATTTATTCCCGGTTCAGTCTTTGCTTTTTCTGATGGCTGATGATTCCTCTGATGTGTAAAGTTTTGAAGAGCAGCACAACGACCGCAACTTGACCCATTTCTGGTGTTTCCCCACATGACAAGAGCAGCAGTATTTTCCATAACGTTGAGTTTCTGGTTGGGAATTTACATGTAATTTTTTTATTTGAGTGCAGAGATTAAAAAGAACAGAAAAATAAAAAGCTGCCTCAACCTTGGCATAGTTAGTAAGTAGTACAAGTATATTTAGACTGCTTGGTCACTGCTTAAATGCAGTTTACAATTACCCTGATGCTGGCAGAAACTAGCCTTTTTCTCTTAAGTGTTCAGTCCACACTACATGAACCTCAGTGCTCAACGGCCCGCGGACTGAAGGGAACTTGCACCTACGGAACCTTTGGAAAAATCCCTAAATGCTTCTCAAATGTTGTTATCGGCAGTTTTCAATGCATCATTTTCAATTGAGATGTAAGACTTCAAAATATGTATATTTAGTTTATCTGTCAGGAAAAACAATTCTAAACTCTATTTTCTCAAAATCCTTTTCCAATCATTTGTTTCTGCTCGTGTTCCCAAAGCTCCGGATACCTGCAACATGGGCAGTCTGCCCAACGGGGGCTGTGAATACCTCTGCCTGAAGGCGCCGCAGATCACAGACCACTCGCCCAAGTACACCTGTGCCTGTCCCGACGACATGGAGCTGGGACCAGACATGAGGCGCTGTGCCATGGGTAAGTCGGTCACGCGCTAATAACCGATTATACACAGTATAATTACAGCAGTACCCCTCCCCAAAGTGAGTGTGCTGAGGAACGTCAGCTTTTGACTGGTAGTGTGTCATCGAATCATAATATTCCCTCTATGCTGTAGTGTTTTTGGGAAAAATAAAATGTGATTTTTTTTCTTTTGGGAACAGAATCACAATATAGAATGTTGTTATTGTTGTAAAATGTTTATTATCCAAGTGAGTTTGCGTACGTACTATATGGCATTGCATACATTCACGCATTGATGTACAAAATTGTCGCTGTAATCATCTTCAAGTAATACCCCATTTCTTAAGAGTATTAAGAGTCCTTTTTCTCTTTGGTAGTTCGACCCAGGGCAACCACAACAGCTGCTCCAACCACCACCATCACAACCACAACTCCCACTACAACAACCACCACCACTACAACAACCACCACTACAACCGGCACAACGGTGACCACCACCACGACTCCCCCCCCCACCACCACCACCACCACCATGAGCTCCACCACGACCTCTGCCGCTACGACACTCAGGCCCACAACCAGACGCCTGACGACACCGGCTGCTCCTAAGACCCCCAGGAGAACTTCCACAGAGCAGCCTCGGACCCCCGTTGCCACGACTACGCAGACGACCAGTTTCAGCAGCACGCGTCGGGCATCCACGTCCACGCACGCGCCCCTGTTGGGGCCCAACGGCATTCAAAGAGAGAGCAACGGCAACCTCTCCCACAGAGGTAAGGGTCATGGTGGGCTGGAGAATCTGCGTTTGTGTGAAGTTGCTGTGTGTGTATGTGTGCGTTTTCTACTGTGAGTGTAATGCTCCGCTGCCACCACAACTGCTACCGCCTGCCGTTGAATCAGTGGGTAGCTGAAAACCACTGCTTACATCCGTGTTCCTCGTCTCTCTGGCTTCACTTCCCCCCCATTCATTTCTGTGTTTGCCCATGCGTGGAAATACCTTTCTCTCTCACACACACATACGAGCTACACTGAGAAGTGTATCGCTCGGTCTGCTTGTTGTCGCCCCCCGTGAGCATTGTGTAAAAGAGCTGTCAGCGCAAACCAACGCCAGTCCCCTCCATTCTCACCTCGCACCTCTCATAAGTCATCCTCACTTTCTGACGGCCTCTTTCACTCTGTTTGTCTTTCCCTCCACGTCTTTATGGTTATATATTGTTACTGTCAAACTGCAGACCCAATTGTCCCCAAGTCATCTTGTGCTTACAACTGTCGATAAAAAATTCATTGCATTTTCTCAGTTCCTTTAAAATGTGAATGTGTGCTTCTCTTTTTGCATATTCGACTAGCTGCAATGCCATCGCACCACTTGTTTCAGACTAAAATGGGAGAGCAAAAGTAGTAAGAATCTTCAAATTTTACTGATTCATAACACTCAAGACCAACGTTTATTAAAGTACATCCTATTTTTGAGTGACTGAATAGAAGTAGAAGAAAGTCAAAGAAATTGTGGTTGGCACGTGTGAAAGATAACAAGCTGCTCAGATTTGACAATATTGCTTTTTTATTAGAAAAATGTCTCCTGTTGGTAAACAAAGAGGGAAAGGGAAAGAGATTGAAAAGGGTATACAAAGGGAAGGCCAAAGGAGGTGTGATGAAAGTGTCTTTGGAAGAGTTCTAGACATAGAATGGGGATCTGAATAAGATAAAGAGCGAGAGGTAAAAACTAAACTGTCAAATGAGAAGGTGCAGCGGTAGTCAATTAACAGGCCATCGAGAAAAATGAATATGACAGTCCAGGAATTGGACAGGGAGAATGGGAGCTATGAAAGAACTCACTGTATGGAGGGAATACAGCATTTATCCCATTTAGATGGGAAGGAAAAAGGTTTGGCTGCTACAGCTAGTCTCGTCACTTTGGGGGCCTGTGTTGCAGAGTTGCTAAGAAGCATGCGTTCTCTAGTCTCTGAAGTTGTCAACCTTTACCACCACACCACGAGCGCTCCAGATGAGAGGTGGAGCAGACACGGATGAGAAAATGGGGCATGAGCAAGACGCGTCTCCAAACCCACGGGCCACGTGTAATCATTTTCGACTCGGTGCACGCTGTCAAGTGTGGCGGCATCAGCTGTTACCCATGTGCAACGCTGCAGCTGGCGTGGTGGAGCGAGGGGGAACCAGCAGTTTCAGGAATAAAACATAAACCGCAGCTGGTACACGAAGCCCAAATGCAGCTATGCTCTTACCGATTTGGACATTTAGTCCTGATGCCAGTATTATCAATCTTTCTGCAGAATTTGACCCGATTATCAAATGCTATCACCCTGCTAGGCTAGGTGCACATGTGAAGATTAAAACAGGGTTCTGCTTGCTGTTCCTGTTTGAACTGAAGAGATCCCTTGTGCAGTCAATTTAACCGGCCAAAATACACCAATGCATCCTAAGGTTTATATGAAGTTGTTAAAAAGGCTTCAGCCTGACACAAATCAAGTGAGTCTTTGATTTACAATTGATCCGAACACCGCCGAGCGTGAAAACACTGCTGGAACAAAAATGGTTTCGTTTGATCCGCTCAGACTGCTAAAGCTTCATGATGGCTCCAGAAAACATCCGGAATGCATTTTCTGCACGCAGCGTGTGGATTTTGTCGCCTATCACTCACATGTGCGTTGTAGTCATGTTAGGTGGGGATGTTTAAATACTACCGATGGGGTGTAACAGGAAGGCTTGGAAGACCCCTGTGGCAGGAGGCAGCCAGTTCCACATCTTGTCGTGGTAGTTAATCACACTTAGTACCACAAAACCCACTCAGTCCCAAGCTTTATCACAGAAAACCTAAAATACTACTTCCTGCCTGACCCTTGTTCATCTCCCTGATGAGATCAGCTCCAGGAGCGTCTGTCTTCGATTACAAGCAAAGTAATCCCCTCACTGGGGGGGAATAATAACCGATCCAATTTATCTGAGTTTTGTTTCAAGACCAACTTGAGGGAGTGTGAACCTGACCTTTAATTGTGGCACTTGACGGAGATTTCAGACAGATTTTTCATTTTCAGGGCAAACATGACATTTTGAATGGATTAAGCTTGCAAGATAATTACTACCATACAGGTACTTTATAAAGATATGATGGGGTTGTTTACTCTATCTTACCTACACAATATGATAATATGGTCAAATAGGTACCTTTTCGTTCAGCAAAACAGCTAATTCTATTTGAACTTAAAATCCCTCCAGCAATAATAGTCTTAATGAAATTTAGACTTTTTTCTTTTTCTTTTTTTTCCAACTAACTCACTTTCTCTGTCTTTTCCTTCAGTTTCCAAGACTGCTTCTTTCATAACTGCTGCTTTAATAAGATTCTATTAATCCGCTTTTTCGAGTCTTACGACCTATTGAATGTCACTCATACTTTAAGAAAAGCCCAATTCACTTCTGCTGACTCAGCACGCAGACGCTCCACTGCTCACTTGGAAGTCAAATCGCCTGCTGTGCCTCTTAATGTTACTGTGTGTGTGTGTGTGTGTGTGTGTGTGTGTGTGTGTGTGTGTGTGTGTGTGCGCATTAATCTAAATGCAGTTTCTCCTTTTATATGATTGTATTCATAAGAGAAATATCTGTCTCATAATTGTATGTCCCGTCCGTCACCTCCAATATGTGTGCCTTTTCCGCACATACAGCTACTCCTTCTAAATGAGCCAATGCGTATGCAGGGCCATCGCTGGGATCTTCTCCGTTAGAAGTATGTACACGAGGCATAAGAATACGCGTCTAGGGTAAATGTATATTTATATATTATGTTGCATCGAGACAGAATATGAACACATGCTGCAGAAAAAGAGTGACTTGAATTCACTCTCAAGCTCACACAACTATCCAGCGTTTCAATCCTCCACCAAAAGATGCATGACTTTTAGTAAAATGTCAGTTTTTGATGCATTACTTCCTGGAATTTCATTTGTCTCGCCATGTGTTGAAACAAATCTCATCTGCGTTTGTATGGCATCCTGGTATTGTTTATCTGCATTTTACTTACGCCTGCTTTAAAAAAGAAAAAATAGGCAGTCAGCAGTCCGGAAATTTGATTGATTCTCTGACTTGCTATTATGCAAATATGTTTTGTTCAATAATGCTTCCAACTTGTATTTTTCTCTAGCAGTGTCGTTGGGAAGAGTGCTGTGAAACACAACTTTTTGCTTGGTTTCACTTTCCTTTCTCTTCTCCTCCACAGCTGCGAGTGATCACTACCTCATAGGTAACAACATCACTGTAGCTGTCCTGGGGATTGTCATTCCTATTGGTGAGTACTTTTTAATTTCTCGCTTTCTGCCCGCCTGCTTCTCCCTCCTTGCTCCTCTGTCTCTGCTCGTTGCTGAAGTCCTGCATGTTGAGTGTGAATGGGTATTTGTATTTGCCAGGCGACGTGTGTGTGTGTGTGACTGGGTTTGTTTGCAAGTTTCTATTCTGGGATTAAATTTGTATATTTCTGATGTAACAGCAATATGTTTTTAAGATGTAAGTCATATGTCAGTCTCAGCACATGTCTGAGCACAAAATGTTAACAGAACGTAGCAAACGTAGTGAGCTGAAGTATTATCCAACAAACGCCTTCTTGGCTACAGCTATAAAAGCCATTATGAACCACTAAACTGGTCAGCCAGCGATGGGCAATCCTTTGTAATGTGCACATGATGTCATCATTAATGAGATCTGAGTAAGTAGGAAATTCAGTTCATGTTTTGTCATCACATTTGACCAGCTGTTGTCACATTAAGCTTGTGTTCCCACTCTGACCATACAGTACAGAATGCTTACACTGCAATCCAGCCTCCTGTTTTACCAGATCCAGTGAACACGGTTGCTGAATTTACATTTTGAACAGGGGGGGCAATGACCTTGGAAATAATGTTATTGTCAATGAAGGGCAGAAGAAACAACATTAAGTTCTTATAATCAAATCAGCTTAGTAAAGCCATCTATTAGCTTAAAATTAAGTGATAGTTTAATTTTATGGATAAATGAAATACTTTCATGCATAACCTAACCGAGAAATTAGCTGAATGTGCAAATGACCTCAAAGTGGCAGCGTGTGCCGCTAATTGAGATCTCTTTCATCCCTAATATTTAATACTGATAAATTATATGAGCTGCAAAATATATTTTTTTCCCCTTTTCATCACCGACGATGCAGATATGAGCTTATTAAAACAACCCTGGAGACTGTTAACTCTTTCCACTGTACCCCTCATCCTGTCCAATCATTAAATCCGCCCATTCTGCGTTTTTTGGGAGCTTTGAAACGCTAATTATTGGTGGAGGGTCCACAATGGCCAGATTTCTGCACCCGAGTTCTCCGCTCACATCCGTTGGTGCACCACGCCCACCCACAGCACCACAGGGGGAAACCGCCCAACAATGATCATCGGTATTTAGCCAAAGTCAGGCTGCTATGCCGCTCTCTAATTGGAGTGAATTCTTCTGAATGAGATAAAAGCTGGTGTTTTTTTTAGTTTTTTTTCCTTAAACCAGCCAGCATTTAGAGGAGAACAAAGGATGATTGGGGTTTCCAGCCCAGTCACACAGGGATCTCAAGTGCCTGTCCAACAAAAGAGCAATTAGATGGGGCTACCACAGGGGATGCAGACACACACACACACACACACTCTGGTTTTATCTCTTCTCATTGACTCATCTGTGGTTTGGCTGTTGGTCTCTACACACACATAGACTCATACATTACGTACACACACACACAAACACACTCGGGTCCCGAAGGGCAGCCAGGCAATCATGCTGATATGGTAATGAGAGGAAAGAGACGGCGCTTATCTCAAGAATTCTCCAATCTCCCTTTACCTCTCATCCTGTTTTCCTTACCACTCACTTTCGATACCCCACCCAAAAGCCAGCAGTCTGCAGAGTGTGTTTAATGTTGTCCCTATTACAAGGTACTAGTACAAACTGATGATGCATAGCCCAACTTTAGCCCATTTATTTTCACAGTTTTGATTTACAATTTAAAATCACTTCCGTCCGAACTTGAACACTCCCAAATGCAATGGTGTTTCAGTCATTGTGTCATCATTGTGTAAGCATAAGCTTGTGTTTGAGTGTGTGTTTGTTGGATGGGTGATGATGCATGCAGGCATTCCCTGTTGCTAGTTGTTCATATGCACTTATGTTCATGTGTTTTGATCATTTTGTTGAATTGAGTTAACAGGAATGTAAATGAACGCATGTGAACGACATGAAGGCTCATTGTTTTCAGCTTTTAGTGTTGCTATCTTGATATTAGGTTTAAATAGCAGATGGATGAACAGGATTTCGCACAGCTGAAGAAGTTGTCTTGTTTCGTGATCTATTCAATGCACAGATTTTCACGAGGGCTTCATGTCCCCTGCAAGAAGACACTGACCACTGCAGTTTAGCACCACTGAATAAAGTTCTCTTGTGAGGAGCAAAATTATGTTCTATGCCTATTAGAGAGTGAAGTGTTTTGTGCGTTTAGGGGCTTGAATTGATTACAATCAAATCAATTATAATCATCAAAAAGTCGTTTGTGTTGTAAATGGTACCCGGTAGTCTGTATATAACCTTACAGCTGTGTATTAGACCATAGAACATTTTGACAAATGAAGGCAGATAATAATGAGCCCTCAGTACTTAAGGAAAGTGTGTGATGTGTGTTTGTATGCGTGACTGCTTAAAGCGCCGCTCTGTGTCCCCTGGGCTGTGTTAACGCTCCCGCCGTGTGTTGTTGTTGTCGTGTGTGTTAAACACATGCAGTCCCTATCCTTGCCACAGTGGTCATCGGATTACTCTGCACCGGCGGATACCTGGTGTGGCGCAACTGGCGGCGCAAGAACACCAAGAGCATGAACTTCGACAACCCGGTTTACCGCAAAACCACAGAGGACGACGACGACGAAATCCACATCGGGCGGCACAGCGAGTCCATCGGTCACGTGTATCCAGCAGTGAGTGGCAGCCACAGTCAGCCATTCATAGCGCTTCCTCTAGGGGGCGGCGTGACCGACAGCAACTCTCACTGGTACTCAGGGGCACCGATGCTCTCCAGCAGCAAATGAGGATGCTCCGCAGAGGAAGTGAAGGAGTTTGGAGTATTTGGGGTTTGGGAGGACGAGCGGGGTTTGTAAAACCATTGTTGTACATACAGGCCTGGTGGAGAGATAAAAAAGCAGGCTTGCACACGCCCACAATCTCACACATCATTTGATGTAATCGCTGAGAAAACCAATCACACACCCACACAGGCCCTTCGCGAGTACATGATATCCTCATTTATTTCACAAACATCGGCATAATCATACAGCGCATATGTTTATCACCATTCACCATTCTCTGTTGCCAGCCAGCCGTCCCATTTACTTGTACATTGCGTGTGGTTAATGAAGTGTTTGTTCTGTTGCTGTGCGAGATGTTTGTTATGAGGCCACAGCCTTCTGACAAAACTCTTTACACAGATATGATTTATGCATATCATCTTTGTTTACAGAAGCAGCTGGTGCAAAAAAAACAAAAAATATTCTCAACGTGGTCACTAGGCAACAGAAAATATGTGCCACAAGATAGCATCCCTGTCAGAGAGGATTTCTTTTTGCTGCTAAACACGGAAACAGGTTCATTCAGACATTAAAGGCTTAAATGATTACCGCTGTCCTGATGCAATGCAGCTATATACAAGAAAGATGCATGATGAGGGGCCTCTTCATGGACGTTTCCGTTCTTGGAATACAATTTTAGTGTTGGGAGAGAAGAAAGAGTAACCTCAGGGCGCTGGTTTTCTGCAAATATTGCATTCTGCAAATATATTTGATTTAGAGTGAACATTGTGACATTGGCGTCACAGTGGGTGATCAGAACCAAGGGAAGTCCAAAATAATGTGTCTTTATTTGTTATGTGTTTTTAGTGCAGTTGCAGAAATCATAAATTTCCACATTTCATGTGTTACAGACTATATTGTTTTGAGATTCACTTATTAGTGCATGAAGCTGCATTTTTCTACATGTCTCCAAAACAATGCCAGCTGTGATTTGCACAAAAATGCACTTAATGTCTCGGACGTGTATGGCATGTACCGATTGAATATACTTGTTGTTTTAGATATCGGAACGCCAGCTGGGAAAGATAGCCAAAAAGGATTATAGGGGGTTGGGATTCTGCCGCTTTGAACGGTTGGCATGGTAACACAGATTGCTTTGTGTTGCTCCGGAGAAGAAAAGAGCCAAAGAATTCTGGGTATCATTGGCAAGATGTTACACACGGATGTAAGGTGCACGACTGAGTCAGATTAGGATTCAAGGTCAAATTAACATCCACCCTCGGTAAATGGCTGCAAGGGGGGACCGTACTCTGTCCCCCCCCTCAGTTATAACATTTGCATTTACACTAATCTATTTTACTGTCCTTATTTTGATACGTGTTTTCTCTTCTTTGCTTTTGTGGCACCGCGGCCACTCAGACAGCCAGGGGAATCAGGTTGGCATTATGTGGGCCAGATATTTGAAGCCGTAGGCGAGCATCATACATTCCTTACATAGGATCAGCCTGAGACGGAGAGGATGTACAAGGGGGGGTGGAGAACAGGAGGACGGTCAGTAAAAAAGCAGGAGAATGGATTCCATATGAACCTCCCGTTTCTCCTCTGGGTGCCGTCTGCAATCTTCTCCCCTGATGTCTTTCTTTATTTCTCTTTGTGTCTTACTTCCCCCTCTCTCCTTCTCACACCTTCACCAGCCTGCTTTAGTAACAGTCTTTTTATCTGCTGTTTGCAGCGCGTGGCACTCAGTCTGGAGGATGATGGCTATCCCTGAGGGGGGCGGGGGAGCAGCCTGCCTCCCCCTCCCCATTCCTACCCTGGCCCCTCCGCGACATCACTACTAAGAGGCCAGTACAACGCAGAGGAGAAAGAGAAGGATTCCTCATTTTGCATCCCTTTTTGAGGAGCAGGGATGACATATACATCTTGTAAATCCTCCTTTCTCTCCTATTTCCTCCACTGGAGTAACATTACTACCACTACTAGCCACTACTACTTCCCTTAGTGCTAGTTTTTAGTAGTCTCCGTTCCTCTCTTCTCTCTGCCTCTTGTTAGATGTAGTGGTGTGTGAAATGCTGCTTGATGAATTTGTTCAAACTAACCTCATTCGGCGGCCTCAGTGCACATTGTAAATAAAAGGCACCGTACAGGGGAAACGGCATGTATGATTTTTAATTATTAATATTGTGATGTTTTTATTTATTTGGAGATATGTTATCTGAGTCGCTCAGTGCTACATTAGATTTGTTCAACTTTGCAAGGATATACAGTTGCAGGCAAGGAGGTTATTTCTTATTCATGAGTTGACGCGACATACTTAAAAAAATTTAAACACCCTTTTTCCTACACCAGTCTCTCGTATTCCACTCTTTGACACATTATGTAGCAGGCAGGCAAAGCTAAATATAGCCGAGGGGAAAGGAGAAAGTGATGCGGTTCTCCAGATGTTTGGAGGTAATTTTGAGGTGAACGAGTTAGGGAGAGGTTATTTTGAGGGAATAGGAGGATTTGTGCCACCAGAGGGTAGTGCCTAGAGGCAATAAGCAGCGATAGGTAATCCTTTCTCCTGGTATCAGATGTTCAGTGCAGTCGATAATCAATTTGGGATTGTTTGTTCATTTGCGGTGGGTGTTATGACTCTCACAAGTTCCTGACATTTTGTTTGCTCCCAATTAATTACTGATAAATATATCTACTTACACAAACATTAACAATAGACAACTGCAAAGTTTGAGTATTTAACACTGCATTGGTTGCACGCTAGACAGTAGCTCCAAAAACAACACTTAGCTTTTGATTTGCTGTGACTTTGCGTCACAACTTCTCCACGGTTATCAACCCGTTTCAGTGGCCTCACGGCGCTGCATTTAACCTCATCTTTTAATAACGTGGCAGTGTGTTTTCTTGATGAGATATAGTAAAAAGAAAAACAGCCTACATTTGGAAGTTATCACTTTACGCTGTCGCTGACTGCTCAGCGTTGTTAAAGGCCTTGTTTTGTGAGAGCAGATGAGTAACACACCGAGGCCGACTGAGCCGAGCACTGATTTGATTTGAAGGCTGGGTAGTCTTCCATTGGCTTGCTGCAGACAAGCTTCCAGCTCATAGAATCGGATGGCTTTTTTCCCCTGCAAGTATCGCAATAATTGCTCATACTGCATCAAAGGAGGGAATTTATGACGCGTTAATATGATGGCTGTTACAAGTAGTTAGGGCAGAATAACTTTCCTCTTGACTTCATTTAGTCTCAATAAAGGGTTTCTCAAATGTGTCACTTATAAAACATTATATAATGTATATCAGTTACCTGAAACACTGGTCTTCCATTCCCAGAATAACAGATTTGAATGATGTTTATCAGCGGAGCTGACCTAACAAATGCTTTCCTTCATCACATCCTCGGCCTTTTTTCAGTAAACAAAAACACGTATAGAACGCAACTCTTCTCTTCCGTCTTCCAACTTACCGGGTTGCACTACATATGTATTTGTCTTACTATAGAGACCGGTTGTGCAAACGGTTGATCAATGGTAGTTGTTATTCGTGGTTCTGACTGTTTCCTGGAAATGTTTGCAGAGTGTAGATTTCTCAGGTGACCACAGGAGGGGGAGCAAGAAAAAACGGTAGTCAGGAAAAGACAACTGTCCTGTATGCAAACAAGTGTGTGCTCAGAAGATGAATAGTGGGCCATTTATTTTTCCTGATTTCAGATAATGTTGCGTCGCTGTATTCTGCCACTCATTCCCCTTTGCCTCCTACGCACCGATATCTCGCTCTCTTCTCACATTATGATGCACAGAGGGGGATTTCTATGTGAAGTATGAGACAAGTGGCATTCTAGAAGGTAAATTATAGTCCTCTCCAGCACTACACCCCCCTTTGTCAATCTAATGAAGGAGGTTTGAGCACAAGAGGAGGCTGTCTGCCTTTATACTAACCTTGCACAGATGAAGCCAAATAAAAGGTATTTGACTGCTTCGGTAGCAACACGCAGGGTTTTTTATTTCAGCCCAACGTAGGATTGATATATAGGAAACCATTTAAATCGACACAGCTGCATATTGGTATTAACTGTGTTCATATTTCAATATTTTCTGAGGGTACGATGGCTATAGGAACTGTTATTAATCCAAATGTTATATTTATATTTAATAAAAAAAGATTAAGATCCCCTGAAAGATGAAACCAGTCAGATAGCGTTTGTGAATTGTAAATTAAAATAGATCACAAACCTGCTGGTGAATTGGATCCTGAGCTCTGCTCTCCACGTCGCCCTCATGTCCATGCTGCAGGTCTTGTGGAGTTCTATACGGAGGGTTTGCAGTTAGTAGGAGAAATTGCTTATTTATTGAGGTGACTGCCCGTGGCATTGTAGAAAAGTTATTATTGCTACAGTGTGAAGACCGATTGGCTGGTCCACTTCGTGGCCACCTTGAGGGCGGCTGCTTCCACAGAAGGATGCTGATAGTCCACTTTGGGCTTTGCATTTTTTCAATTGTCATTTAGTAAATAATAATCAAAGATAACTTGTTTCGACAATATGCTATCTGGACATTCTTGATTTAATATTTTCAGGTGCCGTTAATGAACTAATCAATATCCTAATGGCAGCGTAATTGTAGTTTACTACTGGTCGGCTCCATAAACACTAGTTCAGGAGATGAAGTTGAGCACTCTCCCTCCTGTCGAACAATGAATTATGTGTTTGTTTATGTTCATATTCTGAGGTAACATTCGTATGTGGTTTTGGCTGATTCATTTATATATTTAACTCCTGCACTCAAAGTATTGTGTTATTGCTACGATATCAAACCCTATGAAAAACGTAACTTATCTGCTGAGGCAAACATCCATTACAAGGTTGCATCTGGTTAATTTTATGGGAACAATGTTACATTGTTGGCTGATCTTAGCAAATCCTAACAGCCATGATAACCCATAATCCAATAATTGCATGCTGTAATTATAGTGTTGCTGTTTTGTGCTCCGTTATTAACCGTACCGTCGCTAGTCCGTCTCCTCTCTGTGACCTTCCACTTGGCTGCTCGATCAGAGAATTTGACCAATAATGCACTGACTGCTTTAACGTCACTCACCTCCCTCCGCCGCTTCACTTCATCACGCGTTCAGGTATTTCTATGGTTCTTCTATCACTTCTACGCATCTTCATCTCAGCCATCAACATTGTCCCTTTGGCAAGGGCTATCAATCTGTGGGTAGACACACACACACACACACACACACACACACACACTGGAAGTACACACTGGAGAAAATAACCTGAAACCCCCCCAAAATGACAAGGAAACCCCTGGAGCTGTAAAAAAACAACAACTTCCCGATTGTGAACCCAGAAAACGGGTGAACACGCCAAGGGGACCCCCCCCCCCCGAAGAGGCAGTTCTGGACTTGGGGAGGAGCCCAGATTGACTCTACTTGGCCGGAATTTAGCTGTTGTTAACCCAGTGACTTCCCGACAACTTCAACTGGTTCCTTTTTTCAATCATGTGTTTTTTGGATTATTAGTCTGTGAGTTGTAGTCGTTGCTCTTTCTCTCCTTCTCTATCTCGCGCTCTTTCTCCTTGCCAAACCGTTCTGTTTCATATTTGATCTTCTTGCTGTTTGATTTCTCAAAGGAGTAAAGTTGAGTCAACTACCTTTTTGTACCAGTCATTATAAAAATGAAGGTTGTGTGGAAGAAGACAGCAATGGGGAAATTGTGACGTCTGTGTCTAAATCTTGAGTGTTGGAATGATGATATACACGAGCAACATTTTGATAAATATTAGTGTTGTCATATATTTGGACATTTTGTTGCAATGATTGAGATGGAAGATAATCATTGCAAAAATAACAACGCATTGGCTCCAATATAAAAAAAAAAAAAAAAACTGTCCATCAAAATGTTGGTTTCATTGCCCGCAAGGAAATGTGAAACATTTGGCGCTCAGTCCATTCCACAGCCATACGACAGGCATTTTTTTACGCTGTTTGTTGCACAAAACTTTTCAAGAAGCCTTCTGCACTGTGTAAAGAGATCACGTTCTTAGGAGGGGAGGAAATAAAAGGGAGGGGCTTGGGATCAAATGGTACAGTCCAATGGTTTTGAATCATGACTTGTAAATATGTTTTCATACAGCAAAAACCTTTTGATAATGTTTTAAATGTACCTGTAAAACATATGTACATAAAGCTGTGGGGGGAAAAGGAGTGTTGACAATATATGAATTTATTTGTATTCTAGAGCACTGGATTTATTTACTACTTGATTGTAACTAAAAATTAATAATCTGCCAAAGTGTTTTTATTTTACTTTTTCTCCTGTCTGTTCCATTTGTTTGAGATTTTGTCTTGCTTTTTTTTGCTTTTTAACAGCGTTGCAGAAGTTTAGGGTTCATAATGTATTTAATTCTGTTGAATAGCTTTTGTTGTGTCTTTTTAAAAAAAGAGGTGTTATCATTTTAATTTATTGGTGCCTTGTTTTGTGCTCCTGTATACTTTCACTCTATCTGTTTTTCTGTGTTGCGTGTCTGCGGGACGGCGAGGGAGGGGTTAACTGGCGGGTTGGTGGGGAGCGGGGGTTAAAACTTAGCAACTTCTGTACTTACATGGAATATCTGTACTGTATGCCAAAATGGTCTCGATCACGTTTCTATGAAATCAAGCTGTTGATAAATATCTCTATATATTGATATATTAAATTTATAAAAACTGTCCAAGCTACTTGACTCTGCATCAGGCCACGTTTTGTAAGCTTTTAATTGACTCACAGGATAAATTATCCTTTGTGCCCAACTGTCAGCTTCAGCATCTGCTACCTGCCTTAAGTATGACGTAGATATTTCCAAAGCTAAATTCATGTAAAAGACATTATTATAATGAAGCAAAGTACAGGCTGCCAAAGCGACTTACAACAAGTGCATTGAGAGGGAACAGACCCAGATCCACGAGAGTCAAGAAATCCAAACCTCAAAGTGCTAGTGCTAACAAAGTGTTACCTAGTCCAGGTGGAGGTGCGTTTCTAGTTTGCTCTACAGGGATCCTGCTGTCCTGAAGTCATCGCGGAGCTCATTCCTCCATTTAGGAGCCAGGACAGCACAAAGTCGGGATGTGAGGAAGCAACAAGCAGATTCAGAGCGGAGTGAGACGTGAGGTTCAACCATGTCCTGGTTAGTTGGCCGCACGGTACGCAAGTACCAATGTGGGCGGCCACTGGTAGGGTGGGTGAATTTAGCTTGAATACCAGTCGAGCTGCTGGATTCTGGATGAGCTGCAGAGGTCGGTCGGCGCTGGCAGGTAGATTTACCAAGACAGAGCCGCCTTTGGCGTGAGAAGGAGACGTATCTACAGGAATGTGTTGTTGCTGTAATGTGGCCAGTGAAAAGTTGTGTTGCGTGTCCTAGCGGACAGGTCTGGGGTCAGGACGGAGTTGTCAAAGGTAACGGTCGGTTCGTTGGTGGGAAAGCTTTCCCCTGGAAGTAAAATAAGTTCAGTCATTTTCAGGTGGTGTGCGGTCGTCCACTTAGGAGACGTCAGTCAAACAGGCAGACATTCGTGCTGCTTCCTGTGTCTCCGGTTGGGGAAAAGACTACATTAGTTGGGTTTCATCAGAAAGGCTGCGGGCAGGAGAAGCAATGTGAGTGGATGAGCTGAGACCGTGAGGACCGAGAGGAGGGGACCGAGGACAAAGGAGAGCGGCTGCTCTAGAAGTGTGGAGTTGCTCAGAGACAGCAAGGAGGACCGTCCCTGTTCAGTTACCGGTCTTGAAAGCTCTTGTGGTGGAGATAGGAGGAGAGTTTGTTAAAGACCGCTTAAGAGAAAGGACAGAAGAGATCAATTGTTTTGTATTTGATATAATCACAGATTACTGGATCTCGGGCCATGGAGCAAAAATGAACACAGGTTAAGCCATTGACAAATAAATAGTATTGCAATATTTATTTTGTTATTCTGTTTTGAGTTCTTCTCTAGATCATAAGTCGCTGTTTCGTATTCCGAGCGCATTCATTCGGTCATTTACACACCCGTCGTGCAATTAATGTCAAGCTTACGTGATGATCTCACATGGACACGGGGGGGGGGTTCCGACATAAACTTCTCTCTCTTCTTCCTGGTGTGCTTCTTCGATGGCGGACAAAGATGTCCCCAGCATACCGGGCGTTTATTTCTTTTACTGAAAAGTTTCACCGAAAGAGCTGGAAAAACTAAAGCGTGAGAGTAAACTGGGCTGACAGTCTTACTAAAGGGGAAGTAAAATCACAGTTACAGTTTTGATGGGGGATGTGTAGTCCCTGGAGAGTTGAAAGGCCTGACAGTTAAATGCGGCTTTGATGGATGAGCCGGCGGGTGGTGGGGGGGGGGTAAGGGGAGGGCGGACTGCTGCAGGATACGGGCGGCTCTTCTGTCCGCCCATTGTTGCAGAGCTGCCTTTGCTCTTCGTTGAAGATTCAACCCGACTAGTGCCCTGCGCTGTCATCTCCCCGGGCATTACAGAATTCAAGGATGCCATTTAGGATTCATGATAACGGAGGGAGTCGTGGCGGATCAAAGGGTTATGGTGTTGTGGGCTGTACTGCGTGTCAGTACTGTGTAGCTCCGAGCAGACTGCAGTAGATTTCCGGCATCACTCTTTCTCCGTCGTTACAACTGTTATTGGTAAAGCATATTGAAGTTAATGCTCAAGCAGTCTACTGGTGTAGAGTCCAAAGATGTGTACAAGATAGGCCTGTAAACATCGTTATGTTCAAGAACAAGAGGCTGTTAATGACCTCTCTCCGCTGCTTTGTTCGCCTTGAAACTCTGATTTGTTACACCAATCTCTGCCATTAGACACGTCTGTTGCGATCGTCATCCTGGACAAAAACAAAGACTACAATTGTGACATATTTGTGTCCCACTCTTCAGTGGGCAGTCTTCATAAAAGTAAAAGGTAAGTCGGTGAAATGAGATGTGATGTTCACCACAGCATTCACAATCCGTGGTGGTATTTTCTACGCTCTTGATGTTGCAATTTTAAGGGAACCAAAAAATCCTTCGGTGACGATCATTTTGTGTTTGATTTGAATTTCAGACAAAGAAAAATCCAGAAATGCTCTTTCAGGGTGCTGTGGTGGGGATTCAGCCCCACTTCACAACCTGTCACTTAAATATCTCCATCTCCTGTGCTAAATGGAGTTAATGTCCTACTCTATTAGTGAACTCAGTGGGTTATCCAGCTAGTTGTGTGCAGAAATTCCCCGCTCTCCACCTGTCACCTGAAGATGAATAAAACATTTTGGGAGCCTGGGCATGCCAACTCAATTTTCAGGTTATTTTAGAAAAGCAAAGCTGACCGCAGTCTGCTTATCCCCGCCTCGCTCGACAGAACAGAGCCGTTGTGGGTGATTATAAAAGGTTTTATAAATTTGCATTATTTACACCTTCCACCCCGTGTAGGACACCCTGGCAGCTCTGCACCGCTCCTTCAGCCACTGCCCCGTCTCATCTTACCGCAAACTTAACTAGGTGGCAATGATACTAATTTATCAATGCATTGTTGATGTTTTATTTAAGAATATAGTTTCACTGCACGCATACAAGAAAAAAGATTGCAAGTAGGTAAACATACTGGAAGAAATTAGGGGAAAAACAGAAAACAAAGCCCTTTATCATACATACATACATCCATCAGAAACAAATCACTGCTAATGTTTCTCAATGCCTGCTGGATGTCTAAATTGCTACAGTTTACTGATTTAACAAGGTACTTTTATTTTATTTGGTTTACATGGCTTTTTTTCATTTGTGCATTACACTGTGTGTAAGTGTCTCCTATTTTATTTTGTTAGTCACCTCACTTTTCAGGTCCCTCGGTGTCCTTTTGTGTATTTTCCCGTCTGCGCGGCCCTGATTCCTTCCACCTGTCACTTACTCACTAGACCTTCTGTTCACCTGCTCCCACTTCCCCATTACTCCCTCAATATTTATACCCGTTGCCTGCTGCTGCCTGACGCTTGGCTTGTAATCTTTTTGCTTTACTAAAGTATTCTCTTTGTATCACCGGGGTCCTTTCTTCCTGTGCAGCTCCCTGCACAACAACTGCACACGGTTTCGTGCTCTGCTGCCCCTGGTGGCTTACGGCGCCCACTACACTGATCTTATTGCCAGTAAAACGGTGACGGCAGCCCTCTGACAACCCAGAAAGGCTGGAAACTCTTTCCCTATGGCAACGTGGGATAAAGTGAAGTGTATGCTTATGTTTGCTCTAGCAAATCCTTTTAATGATTCTTCATTATTGTCTCCGCTCTTCCCCGGTTTCATTATTTCTTCATGTCTCCCTCATTACCTTGCTCTCTGCCTTTGTGTTGCCTCTGAGAGCTTTGCAGAGGAGATGCCAGTTAGTGGCGCTCTCTTGTGTGAAAGATTCCACTGAATTAACAATTTAAGTGTTTTACAACCATTGCAGTGAAATGTGATTATTAAAAACAAATTAACACTCCGGCTCTACATTTTACACCACCTTCATTTTCCTTCTTGCAAGCTGTCTCTTTTTCCTTGGTCCTTTTCAATCGGCCTCCATCAGCACTTACTGGTTCTCCCTTTATGACGCTTTCACACTGTGGCACCTTTTCCTTTTAGTGAGGAGCCAGATCAGTTCATTCACCCCATCTGGCCTCCAAGATTTTTTTAACTATGCAATACATGCACTGCCACCCCTCTGCCCCCTCCCTTCTCTGCCTGACGGATGACACTTCCTATCATGTCCTGGATAATAAGATGCACAGATTAGCCATGTGGGCAGACAGTGGGGACGGGATATGTCACATGTGTGTGTTTGTCACTGTGTTTTTGCTGTGTGTATGTTAATAATATTTGCCCTTTTGTTTGTCTGTGTGCTTCTCTTGGTGTGTATGCATGGATTTGTACCCTGATGTTGCGTTTGTGTTAGTTTGCCTGTAATAGGTGCAAGAAAGCAGGTGTGTGTGCATGTGTGCGTGCACTGGAACACACTAGAAGAGAAAGCGATGGCTAAGTGCCGTTACCAGATAATCACGGCTAAAGTCTCCATGCTTATCGAGAATGGCTCATCATCATTGTGCCGTCAGACCAGGAAGCCCACAAAAAAAAACTTCTGGCATTCCAACGCGGAACACCTTTTATGTGTGTGTGTGTGTGTGTGTGTGTGTGTGTGTGTGTGTGTGTGTGTGTGTGTGTGTGTGTGTGTGTGTGTACGTGCCTCCCTGTGTTTAGCACATAGATTATGAGGGGATTACTGTAAATCACATCTTTAATAAGAAGCCAGCTGCTCAGTTTGCATGTGTGCAGGTTTACATCCTCCAAGTATGAACACTGTATATCAGTGTAATTGGCTGGAATAGGAGCCCAGTGTGAGTTGAGTTCGAGGGCATCAATTCAAAACAAAGTGGACGCCTGTAATGGGCTCACTCTTCACTGCAATGGGCTTATTCCCTTTGTAAATGGAATCTGCACACAGAGGCAGCCAACAGCAGGAACATAAACATGCGTAAGTTGCAATTACCCCAAAACTGGAAAACAAATGTGGCTAACCTTTTGTGCTGCGGATGTTGTTTCTGCATTCATGTGAGGAATGGATTTGAGAAAATGTTCTACCTGCTGGGAAAGGTGAGGGCAATCAGACCCAGAAGTACCACAAATCTGATTTGTAACCAGTTCGTTACGACTTTGTCTTCATGATCCCTCGGCTTCCAAACGGAAGAGAGTCATTTTTACTTGTTATCTTCTACAATTCTCAGAATTCTACATAGCAAGTATGCAAATTGGGAAATGCAAAATTGCTTCGCTGTGTGTGTGTGTGTGTGTGTGTGTGTGTGTGTGTGTGTGTGTGTGTGTGTGTGTGTGTGTGTGTGTGTGTGTGTGTGTGTGTGTGTGTGGCGTATGTCCACATGTTCATGCATGTTTTGTGTGTTTATGTAATTACTGCAGCCGGAACAACTTAGCAACAGCACAGAAACATCATCCACTTCATTTAAGAGCAAATCCCTCTCCTCCTCTTAGTTTGTGATTAACGGCCATCTGTTTGCTGTAATAAAAAAAACTACAGTCTGCTATTATCAATCGAATTGTTCTAATAAAGTCCTTTTGTGTCTTCGTAAAATATTTTAAATGTCGGCAGTGTGTTTATGAAAAAAGGAACAGCAATAAAATTGTAACCTATAAAAACACCATAGACATGTTTTGTTTTGAAATTACCCTTGAGCATTGCTGCATGAATGAAAGGGGAATCAAGAATTAAAACTGAATAAGATTTCATCAAGCAGAAATTACCCATAATACTAAACTGCACTTTGCCTTCAACTTAATGTGTTCTCATTTTTAATGCCAGTTCAAGCCATGCAAGTGAGTATACCTAGACTTAATAATGGTTTCCATTTCTCTCTAATGTCTTGATCTTAATTTCCCTTCATGGCTACAGAGCCCAACGATACGGTTTAATAGTAGAAACTAGATACTGTCCTGTATTTTCTTTTTTTTAATTTGATTGATATTCAACAGTTTCGTTTTTGGAAAAATGATGTCACTTTAAAATCTGACAAATCTTTGACAGTAACTGAGCAAATCGAGGAGCAGCCTCACAGCTCTAGATGCAATCAGTCAAATTAGTATTTAATGTGCTCAGTCAATTGCAGAAACCAAAGACATACTTGAGAAGGAAGAATACAAGTCTTTTGATAGCAGGTGTTTCCGAGAAGGTGTGGTCCCCGAGGAAATCAAGCAGTGAAAACGGCGTAGTGTTCAAGGTCATCTAACAATAGGAACTCCTAATTGGCCATTATGCTTCCTACTGCAGCTGGAACTGGAGAGCTCTGTGCTTTCCAGGGGACTGATGTTGAAACAACGATGATGCTGCGATGCATTGTTGACATCAAGATTATTGGATTATTCCCATTCAGAAAAAAACGTTAGTGTTGCCTTCACACATCTCTAGTGGTTCTCAACTCATTTGATGATCGAAAAGCTCCCTGGAGTTCAAATGCAAATCTCAAATGCAGTACAGTCCTCACTGCAGCACTGTTGTGTAGCCTACTCGTACCGAAACTGCTGTGAATTCAGAGCCTCATTTAGCGCAAACTATTTTGAGGTGAAGATGAGGGCTACAGCGGTTACATTGGCAGTTGGATTGGCTATATTGGGACAGAGAGACCTGGAGGACTTGTTATATTGGGAAAGAGTGTGGAGGACTCTGCAATGCTCAGGACTCACATGGCGCTTCTCAGTCCGGTGTGTGCAATATGTACAACAACACACTCCGGATGAGAACTTAACTTATCGACGTTGCTGGTGTGTGAAAGAACTTCTCATTTAGCTCTCATTTAGCTTTAAAATATGAGCTTATCCTGTTATATTAAACATATATATGTTGTTTGTCCTATTGATGTTTTATTATGAGTGCAAAAGAAGTGGCAAGTTATTCATGGCCTTCTAATTTATTTACTGGTCAGTATTATTATAGACAATATGTATATTTCATCATCGATGTTCTTGAGTAGATCCATAGAGAAGGAAGATTTCATTATACATAAGCATGCACATTGAACTGTAACATCTATTCAGTATATTTTCAATGACTTACCTTTTTCTTTTGCCTGAACACCTTTTTACAGTAGAAGTTTCTTAGTCGTGATGGGTCAAATGTCCTTAAGCCATCGTTACATTTAGTTAAGCGCAATAGTCTAATACTAGAATATAACACCGACAGTATTTCTACTTTTGACACGATATTTGTTGTGACGACCAGTTCTCCACTTTCAGTTTCACACCCTTTCACACTTGATGACAAAGAGACTTTTCGTTCTGTCAGTTGGTGTGGTCTTACCACAAAGTTATTCCACCATCTGCTGGTCACTGCGTTTTACTACATTGTATTGTGACTTTGGAGGTAAAGCCCACATGCAGAATCGTGCTCGGAATCAATAGAAAAAAAATCCAGTTCACACAAAAATCTTTGATATTAATATGTATTTATTCAGAAGTAGTTCTCTGGTTTTGCCACATATAAGCCTGTTGTTCAAGGGATATTACAGAGAGGTACATGTTTTTATTTTTGACTCTGTCATGTACATAATCTCATCCAAACCAATGAGAAATGCCAGTATAGCTTTAGCCGGTGTCAATACTGCTTTAGAGTTTACGTTTACCCAGAAATATCAAGGGTAAAATTAAAGGGCACATGACGCAGTCAAAACCATGTCCACATCACACATGTACTTCACCACCCTGCCAATCCATGGTACGCTAGATAATCACATCATCAGGGAACACTCTGCATCATTCTCAATCATTCAATTTCCCCTTCAACACAATCACTGGAATATTTGTCCATGCATACATAAGTATACTATATATGGTAAAAAATATAGCATTTGGAATAAATACTTGTATCATTTATAGAGCAAACCTTCAGACAATGCTTGTTATATATTTGTCACAATACTGTCTGTACACGATTTTTGATTATTTTTGATTACTAAACAGATAAAACTATATATTCAACCCCATGTGAAACCGATTTAATTTCAGTTCTTTGGTGTTGAGCCAGTAATGAAACCGTTTCAGATCTGGGTCACACTGGATTAAACATATGGATGTGATTCACTTCAAGACTTAATACACGAGCACGGAAGACCAGATATACCAGATATTTCACACAGCACCGATTGGATCATCGTTTAGCCGTCTGTCTAACAGGAAGCATCAATGTGCCTCAGTGTACAGACAACCAGAAATGATCACATGTGCTGCGATGATTTAAAATAAGTTATTTCTGATCCTGTTTTAATGCAAGACTCATTGTTGAGGAAATCTTTGCTACTTTGTTACGAAACAAATGATTTGATTACTAAAGCCACTGTTGAAAATATCCCATTATTGCTTAAATTAATCCATTCTCTATATTACTACATAAACGAGATACGTCATATAACAAGTATATCTTCACGGGGATTCCGTAAAGAATCATTTTAGCATCCACAAAAACAATGTCTGGGAATGAGAGACTGAGCGGTCAGATCACACGGCAGCTCGTAAAAAGAAAGGCGATTATCTCAGAACTGGACAGCGTTTGCACGGCGCCGTCTGCACCTCAATGCAGATTGGCCTCCCGCAGATCACACATGGCAGTTGTTAATGTGAGTGGTATTCACCTTCAAATGCCACCTCCAGTGACCCCAGCAATTAACCCGGTCAGACAGAGAACATGTGGCTGATGTCGTCTCTGGAGGAGCTTCCTTTAAGAAGTAACTGGACAATATCATTAGATTTATCTTGTCATGGAGACTAAAGGTTTACAACAGAAAGCCTGTGTTACAAACTCGAGACCGTACCCAATTAGTTGACAATGTTACTTCCAAAAGTCTGTTAAACAGAGCATTTAATTAACTTTTGTTTCAGTTACTGTGGAACGTTACCGATCTGTTGATAACATTGTCTGCTGGGCGTTTTCCGCAGGGGTCACTGAAGGTGAGCTGTTACGTTGTAAACATTGAATCAAACCAGAACTTCTGTTCAAAGATTCTTTAGAAATATGGGTGTGCGTTTGTTTAAAATAGAAGAAGACGACGACCACACTCCCTGGAACACATCTTATCTCTAAGATGTGACATCGTCATCTGATTAAGGCTGGACCAGAGTTCCTCCCCCTAGAGGTTTAGGATTTAAAAGTTAGCATCGATATTGCTTCTTTCCGCATTGCAGCAATAAAAAAAAACTTGTTTTTGACATATCGTTTTGAAATTATGAATTACTTGAAGCGGCATCGAATTGTTAGTCATTTGAGAACAGGCAGACCAGACATTTGTTGTAAAGATTAAGTGTCTTTAGTCGCACATGGTGAACAATTATTTAGTCCCATGATCCAAGCCGGTACAGTTATACTTGCTAGATTGTTTTCTCGGAATGTATCATAGTCGGCCTGACATTCATTGTGCATTTTGTAGCAGTTGCATACAGGATTGGATTTGAAATGAGAAGGCAAACAAGACACATATTGTATTTGAACTGAGGGACCAAGAGGGAGAGAGAGAGAGACGCTTATCATGAAAACAGTATTACAACATACTGTTGTTCGTTTAGTATTAAATGCCAGCCAGTAGGGAGAGTAACTGTGTATCGTCATGCAGCACCTTCTGAACTGAACAATCTTCTTATTAGAAAACGTTTGTCTTTCTTTAATCTGGTAACATTGTGGTTATAAAAATTCGTAACATAGAAATGTTCAACAGAAAACATTTTCACCCATGTCCCTGTATCTGGAAAAACATCATTACTATGGCAAAAACAATACAATAATTATTGTTTAATATCCACTGAATGATGGGAAATTTACCTGGACACTCTATTCTATAATTATATAACATCTTTTTTATAATTCACACTTTTAGACACTTTTATATAGTTTCTTAGAGAGGACTATTTCCTTTACACAAACACAATAAAAAAAAGTGCAGCAGAAAATACAGTTTTCTTTGTTTCTGTATGAGTATAATGCATTCGAATAACATTCTACATATATGGTGTGTATCATTTCTCAATCATTTCCATATTCAAATATGGAAATGATAATGCCAATCTCATGAAGGAAAAATAGAAATTATGTCATATTTAATATTATATATTTGAAAGGTAGATCATGTGCTTAGTATTTTTGCTTGAAGAGCTCGTTGATAAGATAAGAAGCAGACGTTTTTAGAGCATCTCTTCATCCACTTGCGATTCGGTCCGTCCCTGCTGCCCTTTAATATTCTCACCCTGTCTCATATGTGATTTCCTGTCAATTGTCACCATGGCAATGCCTTATCATCAAATCCACAGGGTCTCATTTGTTGTCTATCCACTGAGTGGTTAAATGCAGCATTTCCATAAACACCCACAGGGCCTCAGCAACCGAGTACATCCACTTCTTTCACTCTGCATACTAAGTCTTGTATGGTGTCCTCCTGTCTGTAGTTCATTTGAGTGAAATCCTTTTTCCTCTTTGTTGGTGGGCAAAAAGTTGTGTAAATTGTGCGGTTGTTGGTTGGAGAGCGAGAGTGGTTTGGATGTCACTGGAGGTCCGTGGTAAAAAAGGACTCGGGGCCTCGGGTTTCAGCGTGGGCCTTCAGAAGGTCACGTATCTCTTGGTGGGCGGCTCCCTCTGCCACAGATCGCGCTGTCTGTCCATTCTGGGGAAACACAAAACAAATTGTCACAGTTTCAAGAGTATTGCAGGAACTCATCATATCCTGACAGTGGCAGTGTTGTGTTGCTCTCTCTCTAGCAACTTCACATTATAGTCTATGTGTATTTACTGCAACTGCCCCAATGCAGGCAATGCAACTTAGCTGTAAGATCATTGGAAGAGCTGGGTCCAGTATCAGGAAATAGGGTTTTAGAATTTTTCTCTTCTTGCAATGCCAGATACGTTGTAAAGCTCATCTAATCATTTTCTCCTCTGCAAAGATTAAAATAATAATATTCGCTGACAAGTTTCTCGGCATCAATTACCTACGAAATAGGCCAGGTTACAAAATATACCGTGGGAGGTTATTAAGGAAATGCCTGAAGGCATGCACGACATTAACATCCATGTGATCAATCTAAACACCGGTAAAAACATAACCCTAACCCCTAACCCGTCATCATCATGGCATGAGTTATCCTCTGAGGTCGCCGGGCAGCAAAAACCGCTCCAGAAATGCTTCAATGTTACAGTAGCCTTCAACGCAGCAACGTGTTGATTAAGGAGTGACATTACTGTATTGCCGCCGTGATATGGCGTTATCTGACTGCGCACCTCGAGCTGCGGAGGAGAATCGACCCTCTGGAGCAATCAATAGACTACCAGGTACAACAATCAATCTCCATTGTGTGGGCGAGGCACCGTCTGCTCTAACCGACGCTGCACGCGACGCAGCCCGATGTCTAGTTATATATTCCATGTATGTGTGTGACCCCGGTGGCCTTTTTGCAACACGGCAGGCAAATAAATAGGTGTCGAGGTGAAGCAGCGATGGCGGTCCTCTCAGTGAATAAAGTGCCCTCGTTGAGTTGAGCCTGCTGATATTCTCGTCTTCTTGGATGAAGGTGAAACAGCGCAGTTGGCAGTATACGTTGTACTTTACGGTACAGCGGTGCACCTTGTCCGTGAGGGTGCTGTCACAGCGGCCCGTCTCCAGCAGCATGCGAACGATGTTGGTGTGTCCGTGTTCGCTGGCACACATCAGGGCCGTGGAGCCCTCTCGGTCCTGTGCGTTTACATCCGCACCGCAGCTCAGGAGCAGCTTTACCATGGCAACGCGGCCATGGCTTACCGCGAGCATGAGCGCCGTCTGGCCCGCCTGGAGAAAGAGGAAGAGATACGGAGAATTAGAATTAAATGGGGGAGAGGGATTTTATGATGGAGAGATAACGAGATGCGGGTTCGGAGATGAGGGAGGAAGTAGATAAAGAAGAAGAGATGGAAAATTAAGTGAAAAGTGGAGGGAAAAAAAAGTAAGATTGCATGCTGTTACATTTTGTTCGGTTTGCACTGCAGATGTCAATAAAAAGTTGTTGAAAATATTCCAGTGAAGAGAGCCACTTGTAAAAATTTCCAAAGATACAGTCATTTCCCCCAGAGGAGTTATTCAATCCCCATAACTGAAATACAACCCAATGTACAACACGTCAGACGACAGAGATAATCCTTCAAAATCCAGTCTGCTCAGCGCGCCCAATGATTTCGTGCAGGCATATATGTATTGATATTACCTGTCTGGAGCACGCATTGACGTCACCCATTCTCAACAGCTGTTGTGCAACCTCCAGGTCGTCAGAGCTCTCGGCAGCTGTCAGTGCAGCAAGCATCACGGGAGTGTAGCCTGCCTTGTTTACATTGTCCGTCTCACACAGACCTGGAAACAAAATGTTTTAATAAAATACAGCGTTTGCTGCAATCCTTTTCATAAACTCCGTATTCAAGCTCTTCTGCTTCATTCACCTGAGTTTTTCACTGCGTGTGTGTGTGTTTGCATCTCACCGGTATCCAGCAGCAGTTTGACCACGGGGAAGTTTGAATGTGACACACTGTAGTGGAGGGCCATGTTCCCGTTGCCGTCAGTTAAATTGACTACGTATGGCAGGAGGGTGGGCGTGGTGAAGCCCACTTGTCTCAGGTACAATCTGACGGTATCGGCCTGCGATTCTTTCTGACTGGATATCTTGAACCACTCCTGGTAGAGCACCACTAGGACCTGGCGCTGGGGGAGAGAGGAGGGAAGGATGCTGTGAGAAAGCCGCCCGTGGAAGCGTTTCTACTGTTCTGTGAACATTTTTTAGTGTTTGGGTTGTTGAGCAGCTCGTGTTTTCAGCCTGAGGAACGGGACTGTGAGCCACATTATTTTAGAATCTTAAATATTTTCCCTCCGCAAAAAATGTTTTTATCTTTTTCTCAGTCACTGAATAACTTATCAACAGGCAAGCAATTAACTTTGCAGACGAGTTTGAAGAATTACGACAGCCAAAAGAAAGTCTTACCATTTCTTTATCTGGTGAAGAAACCTCTTCCATTCGGTCTTTTACATAGAGGCAGGCGTCTATGAACCCCTGGTTCACTTTCTCCCTGCAAACAACAACAAGATGGCACGTTCAAGTACTTTCAAATGGACCATATTAAACATTCAAATTTGTACCGGCATTTGCGTTTGTTTTTTGCCTGATTTTCTTTTATACCATCAATCCGACATAACCTACAGCCAAGAGATGGAGACCAGTTATTGTGTAAATACTGTCTTGAGGCTTGCGGGCCTCGGCAGTTTAGACACATCAGTCAATGGTCTGACGGATTGATGGGACACGTGAACCTCAACAGCAACAGTTTGCTCTGATTCGCTGCCCAATAATATCCGCGGTGCGCTCATGCTGCTGGTCTGTCATGCACAGTCATTCTGAATGTCTCAAGCAGTGATGCGCCCTGATGGGTCACGCTCTCACTGTGCACTGGACTCCAGCTACAGCATACAGAAACTACATTATGTGTTCAACAACACACACATAGGAATCGGACAGGTGCCGAGTGATGAGTTAATGCAAGTCCTGCCTTTTATCTACTGACTGGCTCTGAGCCCCGTTCACATACCTGAGACGGATAAGTCTGTGACAGGGAGGACAACACTGCTGGATATTTGCTTTTTGTTCTGGGCCTTTGGTATTTTGGAGAAGGAAGTGCATTCATGCACGTGATTAGAGTGCAAGCAGTAAATACTGTGTGAAAATAAGTGTGAAGGAGCAAGTTTTGTGTGCTGTTGCAACGTATGTAAGCGTATGTATATAAATGTATGTGTATAAAACGGAGGTTTGTAGTCTGGGCAAGATATTAAGAGGTAAGGAGGGGTGGGACAAGTTTTAAGCAGGTATGATTTGGGTTTTAATTGGATTGGCTTTAGCTGGACACAAAAAAGCACTTAGTACTTGCCAAGCATATGTCACAGTGTCACCATGTGGCCTTAATCACTTTTTATGCCTCGCATTTGACTCTGTTTTCTTCTATCCTTTCGTTCAATTTACGATGTAAGCTGGAGTTAGAAGGTCAACCTTGTTTAATTATATGAGACTATTCTTTGAAATTGTCGTGTTAATGTTCTGAGATGGCCAGCGTGGGTCACAGTGAGTAGAAAAACTGCAGTTCAGATTGCTTTGCGATGTGTCATTGAAAAAAAAGAAACGTCTCTACCAGCAACAGAAAGAAGTGAATGCTGACCAATCCCAGTTTATTAGATAAACCTGTATTTCATTTCTATAACTTGGCTTAGCATGACCCCATCCAAATGCTGCATAGCTATAGAGTAACCAGCTGTATGTATGCGTGAAGGTTTACTGTCTATCTCACCCTTCAGCCTTTTCTTCTGGAAGCTCCTGACTGCCTTCTATATCCAGGAGGCCTCTTTCACCCTCCGTCTCTGCAGCCACGGCACCTCCTCCCTCAGTGGAGACCTCTGCATCCTTCTCCTGTGTCACCGCTCCCTCCTCGGGCTTGTCTGCTGGCTCAGGCTCTGTTGCCTTTTCTTTCTCTACCTCTGGTGAGGAGCTTCCTTTCTCCTCTTCCACCTCCACCTTTGACTTCTCATCTCCACTGGACTCTTCGCTGGATGTCGACTCATAGCTGGAGGTGGACACAAACAAGTAGACGTGCTAAACATTAAAAGCAGAGACACCTAAATATCCCATATTATACCATCTGGTATAAAGCTTTTGCATTATTATTGACCTAAAGTCAGGAAATACTTTTAGGACTAATACTGTTTTTATCAGATATCCATCAATACATGATGCACTATTTGGTTCACCATTGAATTTAACACATGATTAATCACTGAAAGTAATTTGTACAAAAATTAGATGCTTCATACAGAAGCAGCCACAACAATGAAAGGAAAAAACAAATCTGAAAGCCGATGAGTCAACAGATGCTAAGGCTAGATAAATACAAACAGATCATAAACCTCTAGAACTCAAGCGTGACTTGAAAAAAACAGTCTTCTGTAACCTTGGCCCACCATCGGAAACACACACTTAAACATATACATACAAATCCATAGGCATGTTTGCACACCTACGTATGCAAGCTTGGACACAACCCAACCCTGTTTAGTGAGGAAAGCCTGATGGGTGTTTACAAGTGTGCATGTTTGTGTGTATCATAAAGGAACCTCTGTAAGGCCAACGATCAGATAAGTCTGGCGCTGAATGCCACGGATTCATACTTCTTTGTAGACACACACACACTCCGAGACACAGACCACAGCACAAGAGGTGTTCAGGGGCCATAGCATTCCCTGCATTCCAGAGGAGCTCAAGGGAGCAATATGTTAGAACATCCCAAGACAGAAATGCAAACAGCAGCCCACTTCCGAGTGTGGCCAGAGGCCTAAAGATAGTCAGAGAAAATATTGTTGTCTGACATGTTTGTCTTATTATGAATAGCATCTGTAACATCTAACTGGAGACTTCAAAACTCGAGAGATCCAGTAAGACGTGAACCACCTTGTATGACTTATTAATGGTTGCATGTGGAACAGATCTTTACAGTGAATTTGAATTTGTTTTTTTTTCTGGAGTTGGGGTTACTTTTGCAGATCATTCCAGAACAGGGAGGAAGGACTAGACTTCACCACAGCTCTGACAAAACAAAACAAAGGCGAGCAGGTCTTGAAACAGTGAAGCTCAGGAATGCAAGAACAAGAACATGGGAATGAAAAATAGTTTGTTGGTATGTTGGTATCTTTTAGCAGCGTTCTTTTCGAGCATAGACCCTTTATTCAGCTATTGTGTGTGTGTTGCTTTGAGAGATAAATCACAAAAGATTGTGAGTTGTATTTCCCTTATGTTGACTGTACAAGAGAGGGTTTCAGCTGTGGTTACAATGACATGCTAACGTGCTGACGCTTTTGTGTTTTTAATCTGAATATCAGTCAATATTTGGTTAAAACAAATTATTGATACTGTTGGTTCATTTCATGTGGAGAGAGTCCTGTACCAGACTCCAATTTAAATGAATAGCCTTTTACTGCTACATTGCTCTTCAGCAAGCGGTCCTATGGTGAGTTACAAGGCAATAAGTACTGACACATTTGGGATGCAGCTAAAACACCAGCCATAATTCAGTCCTCATGAAAACTTCTGAGGGGCATGTGTTTATTTGCTTCTACGGTGGGAAGTGACATCCTATCACACAACTGGTCACTTGAGACACATGCTGATGTGAACAGATGCACTTAGAGCTGTCCGCTGTGATGGGAGATGCATGTTAATGCCAGGTCTGAACGGGGCTGTTTGTGTGTGCATGTGTACGGTGTGTTTGGCTCCGTCACATCAGCCAGAAAGAATAGTCTCCCTACTTTTGATCTTCCAACTACTACTATCTGCATACTTAAAATTTATCAGTTTACACATACACACACACACACATACACACACACTCAACCACTGCATCCAGCGTCAGAAAATAAGCAACATAAGCATGCTTTACACAAAGCACAGGTGTATATCAATATTGAAAAGAAAAATGCACACACATCACATAAGGTAGAACTCATATTCATGCACACACACATTAGGTGTCTTCAAGTGAGCCTCGACGACTAACCGCAAGAATGGACTTAGTTTACAGTCAATGTGGTCTCGGCCTGCAATCTATTTGTACTCATTTTGTATTTTGTATGAAATTGTAAGATTTGATTACATTTAGTGAAGATAAAAGAGAACATTGCATTTAGTTATTGTTAAATAATGTCCCAAATTGTTTCATGCAGCTAAACTATTCTGTGTAGATAAAAAAATGACTGAAACATAAGTGGAGACAAAAATAAAAATGAAGAGAAAAACTGCCTGACACAAAGATATAGAAATCACAAAAAGAGATTGGACCTTGATCAAAAAGAAGATCTTACCCTCCGTTCACCCCAACAAACTTCAGGTTTTTCTTGGCTCCCTTGTTCCCCTGCTTGTCAGCGACCCCATTTTTCTTCATAATTGATTTGAGACCTGGTGAAGAGCAGACAAAGATGAATGAATAAGAAAAGGGAAGGGGGAGAGGGAGGAGGGGGTGTATTAGTCCTTTGTGGAATTGTATTCTGTTTGTGTATACACAATGCTAAACAATGTAATATTCTCCCTTATTCCTGGCACGTTGTCATACCTGACAGTTCTCTGTAACTGGTAAGAGGGTTCCAGAGGCCCTCCCTCCTGGCTCAGTCATTATTTATTTTATTCCCCTCTTCAAATAATCTTCAACAGGATCACTGATTGCTCCTCTTTTACGGAGTAGTTATTGCACACCAACATCATTATCAGTTCCCAAACTGAGATTAAGTCATGCAAAATGAGGGTTAATTAAAGACCAACCCTCGCAAGATTATACCTCAATGAAGCAAAAAGATACTTCTCATAGCAACACAATAGTAGCTGTTGGGAAATTAGGACCTTGCAGTAAAGTAAATGAGTAGGCCACCAGGGTTCACTGGATGTTTTGATGAAGTTTGAGAACAATGTAAAGCATATCCGGACTTTGCACGACCAGGCTTTTTTGAGTAAGTTATAGTTTCAACGCTGAGCCACACATCTACTAGCTCTGCCTGGGGGATCCCAAGGCGTTCCTACGCCAGTGTGGAGCTATAATCTCTACACCTAGTCATGGGTCTTCCCCGGGGGGGCCTCATCCAAGCTGTCCGTGCCTGGAAAACCTCCAAGGGGGCGTCCCTGCCAGATGCTGAAACCCGGAGTAGGCAATCCATCCATCGGTTTCCTTCTGAGAACCATGGACTCGGATTTAGAGACATCAAAAGCACCGATGAGATACTCCGCACCCCGGACTGTTAAACCCCCCCCTCACTGCGCCTCGATATCCCGTCCATGATACAGATAGGATTGGTGATAAGTCGCAGCCTTGGCAAAGGCCAAAAACCCTCCAGAAACGACTCCAACTGACTGGCAAAAAGCCAGACACAGCTTTGGCTGTGGGCGTACAAGGATTGGATTCTACCAACAAGTTGCGCCTTCACCGCATACCCCTCATGATATCACAATGATAGTTTCCACTTGTTGGCTGTATTTCTTTGTGCAAGTGTTTATAGTATGTCCGCCTGACCCAATAGTACAGTGTGTGACTGTCTGTATATTATCTCGTGGAAAGGGGAAGCTAGAGCCTCATTTGTATACTTCACCTAAAAGCAACACTACAATAATTGTGAGTGAACAGCATCAAGTGCAGAGTGCATGAAAAAGAAAATTGTTACGGAGATCTCATTATTTTTTTAAGGCTTGCGGAAATGAGAAGCTTAGCTGTGCCTGACAGCGAGACACGGTGCAGAGACTCTGTAATGTCTTATACTTATTTATCTTGACATTCCCTTGAGAAATAATATAAGCAGGGTGATGTTTACAACATATTTGGCATTTCAATAGACCCTCCATCTTGTGATAAGAAAAACAAGGGTGTATTTTAACCTTGTGTACCTTGACTCACAGATATTTCACTCATCCACGCAAATGTGTAAAGCCTCACTTGAGTCTCTGATGACTGGGATGAGGGAGATTTCACCTCACAGCAGTAGAAGTTTCTGTTTCCAGTATTTGCGAAAGTAAAACACTGATCGGGGGAGTTGGGCTGTGAATCTCAGATGTCAAATATGTAGAAAGCAACAACAAAGAAAAAGCAACAATTTGAGAGAGCCCCAAATCACTTAAAACCTCTCCCGTGTACTGTACTCCCAACACTGAACTTTAAATGAACCCTCTACACGAGTTATGTGTGTGAGAGCGGAGTGATTGTGAGCTTCAGCTCGTGGGCCAGAAACAGAACCGTGCAGAGGGAGTAAAAGGCATCGTCAAATGTAATAATATAATATATTAATGGAGGTTATTGGATGATATTTTAAGAGGGCTTTGTAACATGCGTCTGTCCACTCTGCCATCCAATAGTTACTGAAGCTTTTGAAACACAATGTGTTGTGCTTCAGCCATAGATAAACCAGCATGATATTATTTAATTTATTTAAATTATACCTAAATACTTATATCTATATCTACACTATATACATTATATAAATTACTATTTATTTATTTTTTATTTATATTAATTACTGCAATTCAAGCGTTCCTAAATATAACATGACTTGTAGAGATTTGTATTGTATTAAATGAATTTTAGAGAAACGAAGAGAAAAGCTTAAGAAAAGGACAATATCATCATAAATGAACTAGAAGGCAAAGTAGACTTTTCCCTTTCAGGTAGACCACAAAAATTAGTTGTGACAATACATCACAGTCCACATCACTCCGAGTCATTAGCCTCCTGGAAAGGTATCAGATAATTAAGTGTCTCGTAGAGTAATGGGTATTTTAATTCAGATAAGGGGAATTAATTAATCCTGTCATTGTTCTAACTGCAGAGTCAAACTGGTCACAGTGACTTCTAATAAGTAAGAACCCTATAAAGGGAATACCTTTGTCAACAGTCAGTTACTGCACACAAACATGGTTGTGTTATAAAATAAAATAAACTACAGTTACTAAGAAGCACCATCTTGTTTTCAGTTTGGTAATAACAGCGTGTGTCTCACAACAGCTGTATGAAGCAATATGCGTTCAACCAGAAAGGTTGAAAAAAGCTCCACACGGGACATGAATCAGAATATATACAGTTTAAACCATGGGATACTAATTGTAAAACAGGCCTACCTTGATCGCGCTGTTTGCTGGCAGCAGCAGCTTTCTGGCCCGGCGAGTAGAAGGCGGAGAGGACGCTGAGGGAGCTGACCAGTTGACTTTGAATGGAGCTCATTTTGGAGGGACCAGGCTTCCCGGCTGCCTTCCCCGCGGTCGCTGCAGGAACAGCTTTCCCTAGAGGCTTGGCTGATGCTCCTTTCGCTGCTTCGGCCCTTTTCCCCGTTGTCTGTTTCTGTGCGCTGGGGCTCTCCTGCTGGCCGGCCGTCGTCTGTTGAGCCCCAGTGCTGCTCCCCAGCTGTGCCCACTGCTCGCCCAGAAGCCCCGTCAGGCGGGTCACAACTTGGCCCAAAGCCGCAGGCGACGTTGGCGACTCACCGGAGCCTCTGCGATGAGGCTCGGCCTCGCCGGCTACCCGACGCGAGTCAAGGGTTTCGCTCGAAACGCGACGTTGGGTTGTCTCACCGGAGCCTCTGCGATGAGGCTCGGCCGTTTCGCTTGAAACGCGACGTTGGGTTGTCTCGCCGGAGCCTCTGCGCGGTGATTGTGTCTCGCCGGGCATCTTTTGAGGGGCTTGAGTCTCAGCGGAACTTCTACGGGAGCCCTGGGACGAGGGTTGAGCCTCATGTGAAACCTGGCCGGTTGGGCGGGTCTGGGATTCCCCTGGTACTCCACCGGGAGGTTGTGATGCTTTTAGTTCTTTAGAATGCCGTCTGGTCTGCGCTTGAATTGATTTGGGACGTTTTTTTACACTGGCGCCCGGTGGTGCACCTTGAGTTTCACTCCGTGGTTGTGGTTTCGTTTGTTTCCCACTCGACTCCGCTGAAGGCCTCTCGGCAAGGCTGCTGTCCTCAACCTGAGACGGGCATGAGGCTTGAGACGGGGATTCTGTCTGTGTTTCAGAGAGCTGAGCCTGGGTTTGGGCCCCGGGCTGAAGTGGAACGTCCACCTGGGACCGCTGCGCTTGAGTTTCACTGGATGCCCGATGAGGACGCACAGGAGCGGCCTGAACCTGAGCGGGTATCGGCTGTACCTGCTCGGCTGAGAGCTTTCGGCCCCTCTGGGGTCGCACAGGAGCTGCTGCCTTCACATTGACATTCTCTTCAGCTATTAATACGACTGTGTCAGTGACCACAGTCTCTTTGGTTGTTGCGCACACGATCACAGTTTTAATCTTGGACTCAATATTTTCTACTTCTGCAACAAGTGCACTGGAACACCCTTGATCCTGACTTACAATGTCTGAAACTACACTTTCTTCAACGTTGCTCTCTTGGACTGCAATTGAACTGTCATTACATGCCACATGTTTGCTTTCTCCACTCTGTCTTTGAACTATTTCATTAGCTTCCATATCCTCCCCTCTTTCACTAACCCTGCTACCTACTTCTTCTAACGTTTCACTGCCTGGAAGTTCTCTTACTTGACTCTCTACCTCTGCATCTCCGGCTGGGTTCCTGTCCCGCTGTCTTTCTACCTCTGTCCCGGCATGCTGGTCTGTCCTCTGTGCTTCCGCTGTCTCGGTCACCCTGTCCACAGTGTTCACTCTCTCTGTCTCTGTCCCCCGATCTACACTGCTGGCCCGTGGTCTGTGAGGACGGTCACTTAGTGTCTCCCCCTGTGTTTCTGTGACTTGGTTTGCCCCCTCTGCTACCGGCGTCTCTGTCGTCTTATCCTGAGTGGCGATCCTCTCGGTTTCGGTGCCCCGCTCAATGCTGTTGGCTCTGGGTCTCGGTGGGCTCACGGCTTCTGCCTTTGTCTCTATCGACTGTTCCTTTGTGTCCACTTTATCAGTTTCTGTTTGGTCATTGATACTTTCAGCCCCTGGTGTGGGTCCAGACACCTTAATACAGATCCTATCGGTATCCGTTCCCTGATCTACTGTACCAGCTGACTCTGTCTCCGTCTCTTGGTGGGTGAAATCTACTCTCTCTGTCTCGGTCCCTGTGTCGATGCTCTCTCTTCTAGGTCTGTTTTGTGCTTCTGGAGTACACGCCTCCGCCGTCACTCCATCACTCAGTTGTAGTATTCTCTCTTCTTTTACCTTGTTCTCATCCATTTGTTCTTTCAAAAGTGTATTGGTTCTCTCCAGATCTTGGCTAGCCTGAGTAAGTTTAGCCTCCAGTATCATCAGCTTTTCCTGTAGATTCTGCATACTGTCGGGTTCCTCGAGTTTGCCCGCTTTTGCAGCATCACCATCTTGAATCTTGCTTGTCTCTGCGTCTTTTAAAGCCTCCCTGAGTGATGTTAATTCCTGTCCGGCAATATCTTGTGATAGTTTTTGCACTGCATCATCCTGTGTACTCTCTAAAGTCTCTGTTTGCAATTCTTGCTCTGACAGCCTACTCGTTTGCAAATGTGCTGATGTGCTGTTCAAAGCTTCCTGATTTATGTCCTTCTCTCTTTGTAACACTTTACTTTTCTCTATAACAGCTTGTTTTGCCTTCTCTGTTACAAGCTTTGTCGGCCCTGAAGACTCTAAACCTCCAGTGGGTTGAGTCTTCAGAGCTAAGTTGAGCCCCGCTGAAGGTCTCTGTCCTTGTGGCTGAGTGTGTGTCCCAGAGTCATGCTTGGACGCTATTGTGGAGGGCAAAGAGGAAACCTGGGCTTTGCTTTGGGCTTGGGCATGGGCGTGTAGCTGAAGCAGCAGCTTCTCCCTCTCTTCCCTCAGTGAGCAGATCTGAGCCTTGAGTTCTGGAATGGTTTTCACCTGCTCTTCTAGCTCCCTGACCCGCTTCAGTGCCACAGTGATCTGCTGGTGAAGCCCTGTCCGATCCTGAGGAATACACCGCCTCTCAGTTATGTCCGGTGAAGCACGAAACACGTTCTCCGTCGAGCCACTCTCCGGTGTTCCTACAACCCGATCCGGACTGCTCGAATCGGAAGCCTTTCTCTGCTGTAGGGTGATGGGCATGCTCGATGCTCGGAGCAGGTTCGGACGGCTTTGAATACCCGAGGTTCTCTCTTCAACATCCTTTGCTCCAGCTCCCAATTCGTCTCTGGGCTTCGCTGAAACATGGCCAGCTCTGATATGGCTGGAGGTCCCCCCTTCGCTTGCCCTGAAGTCGTAGATCTGTTGGACCTCTGTCACCCGTGATTTTGGCTTGGGTCCCAAGGTGGAAGTCCCGGACCACGTGCTGTCCTTGTCCTTAGGGGGAGGCCTGGCCCCGTGCCCAGGAAGACTGAAATTTCTGGGCAGTGTGCTGAATTTGGCTGGGCTCTTGACCCTGCGCTGAATATGAACCCGTTTGATGGTGTTGCCTTTTTCAATGTCGTCAACATACTTGAGGAAGTCCAGGTCCAGGTGGAAGCCATAGGGGGTTTCCACTGAGTAGGGCAGCTGCTTCTTCTGAATGCTGCCCTCACTGGCTTTGGTCTGAAAGCCGTTGGCTGTTGGGAGTAACATTGCAATGAATCAATGTATCAATGAAGCATTGCTTCTCCCACTAATGCTACTATAAATTCTAACAATACCAAAGATAATACCTCAAATCGCACACCTCAAATGCATTCACGTGTGCAATTATTCAATGAAATGATAGAAACCAAATCACAGATCATGAATTATATTATTCCTTTTTCCCCACTTGTATAGATAAGTTGTATAGTTCAGCGCAAACGGTGCTCCATGATGTAAAACCATACCACTTACTAGGAAACGATTATCATGCAGCAATTGTTCCAAAACAAACAATTCATCATGTTGCATGCTGCTCATGCTGTGTCAATTTATGAACGTGGTTATCAACAGACGAAAATAAATGCTGCTCCGCTTTAGGCTACATACACAAATTGAAGTTCAATATTTTGGCCTTTAAGTCAGATGTTGTGTAATGCAGAACCTCGTTCTATAAGAAAAATCAGAGAAGAAAATTGTCTTTCGGTGAAGTGCACGCTTAGTAACACTCACCACTTTTCTTGTCCATCATGGGAGGCGGAGATCTCAGTCATCGACTTGCGTTTGCTTCAGTTGGAGCCTGCAGCCTGGATAACGCAGAAATGAGAGGTATGTGAAACAGTATTATTCATCATGTCGCATTACCGGAACTGAATTCTACATTGTGCCATGTCGATTCGTACAGGAGAAAGAAAGATCTGGGAAATCAAACAAACGGAGAAAAATAGCGTTTGAACCTTGTGGATAAGGCAGTTTTCATTTTCTGAAGATACTCTTCCTCCAGGATTGGCTGAATATTTTCAGCTGTGTGCTGTTGGAAGTACGGACATTTTGCAAGGCAAGCATTACTTGAGCTGGAAATGCAATCAATCAAAATGTCAGCGAGTCCACCCAGGGGCCTGAACAGAAAGCCGTGCCGTCTTCATAGATTGAGGCTTAATAATGTACTGAAAAGATCTCGTTACCTGGAGCCAAAAGGTTTGTTTTTTTAGAGATAAACAGACACACAAATAAATACACACATCATCACAATCATGTGATTGACAAACTCTGCACAAAATGTGACACCATGTGATTGCTACCATGGCAACCTTTTGTCAATCCGCTACTTAAGCGTGTCCCAGGAGTGAGGAGCGCGCAGGCATTCCTGACTCCTTCTGACGCTTAATGCGGCTACGATCGGCGCGCTGTCCTTAAGGCTTAATTAGCCATTTCCGGAGCGGAAGAATGCCGCTTGTAATTGCTGAGTGAAGTACAGAGAGACCCAACAGGCAATTACGCACAGTGGGAAGGCAACAAAACCTTCCTTAATTAGATCATTACCGAAACGGAGAGACGGAGGTAGAGTAGGAAAGAATAGAGAAGGCGGCAGAAGGAGGGGGAGCAGAACCAAAAGGAAAGAGAGGAGAAGAACTAGCGAGGAGAACATGTGATGAAAAGATATTTGGAGGGGAAAAAGTGACAGAATAGATGATGCTGTGAAATAAATTGCCACACTGATTAGTGACATGACAGAAGTGATACGTAAGATTCTACCTTGCCTTCTCCACAGGGCGGTTGTGATTCAGACCAATATAATCTATAAACATCCACACATACGGTATATATCTTGTACAGATTGCTGGACAAATGTATCGGAATCACATAATCTTACTTAAGGTAAAGACATAACTATTTAATTTTGCATCAATGCTAGGACACATCATTTTGTTCTATAAATACGTAAAAGGAAAAACATTTTTTGAGTCTGTTCCTTCTTTAAGAATTTCTGTGTTTTCCAAATCAGGCTCTATTTTTGATTTTCTATCCACTATTTCTATTCCTATCTTCTATTTTGATTTTTGATGAATGAATGATGAATGAATCACAATAGTCTACAGTCATAATGACTAAGAGCTAAAAGCTCATGAAGGCTACAGTATGTCCATCCAGATTGACAGTGTTTGCTGCAGGTTACACGGCTGAAAGTAGGCCGCAGGTAAGTGTTTCCAAAACTGTTTCCATGTGTCAGCGCCACTTCAGTCACTCTCTGTGTCTGTGTCTGTTTACGTATTTATGCGCTTATATTGACTACAATATGTAGGTCTACGTTTGTGTCTGGCTGAGTCACTGTTTTTGAAGTCTCTCAGTCTCACATTATGACCCCATAAAGGACATGTAGTAATCCGTCAACACCAATCCAATAAGCATGACAGCTGGTCTGGAGGCGACAACGTCGGTAATGTGAAGCCCGGAAGACCAGAATAATGAGGGCGTAGTAAATAAGTTCACACTGACAGGATGCATCAGCGTAGAAACAACACCTAAAGTAATATGGTTGTATTTTTAGGGTATTTTGGAACAGAGACCCACAGAGAACCACATTGTATTTGGAAATGCCAAAATAACATACACTGGGGAAACTGATTCTCCTGAAAATACAGCGTATGATTATATAAAGTAAGGTTATACACCAAACAAACACGCATACACGGAACATTAGTGCTGAACAAACCTACCGAGTAAGAGGAGAGGAAGCATTAATTGAATGACATGGGTCATTACTCTGGAGTGTCTTTGTATCGGATATTGAATTAGTCTGATACACTGAAACAGAGCAGGCTCAGACAGAAGACAGGCCGACAGGAAATAAGATTGTCGAGCGCAGGCAGGGGACAGCAGATCGGCTGATGGGAGAGAGAGAGAGAGAAAGTGTAAAGGAGAAAGAAGTGCTGGTGGCCGTGAAGTGGATGCGTTTTGGTACATACTCTACATGTTTTTTTAATTACCGCTTTCAGACAACAACCCCACTTCTGACTTCTAAATCATTTTCTCAGTAAAGAAGCTTGTGGTCTCAATCGGTATTTTCAAGTCGTCTTCAACACAGCCCGTCCAATTTAGAGTGAAGTAATTGATAAAGCAAGGCATGCTTTAGGGGCATGGCATTGTGACCAGGGTGTTCGCTTGATAGTGTAAATCCAGTGACAGGTTTCAGTTCATGACAGTAAGTAAAACGGTCTTGCTCAGCGTAAAACCAGAGTGCAAAACACTAAATTCCCTTTTAAAGTTTACCACTATCCACGGTCAGACACATGGTCTTACCTAGATTAGATTTAAAATCACGTCATGGAAACTGTTTCTTTTTACAGGAGTTTACATTAAATCTGAGCCCGTCACCGTTCCCGATGATACAAAGTGTGAGTGAGGGACGCAGCTGGCGTGATTAGTTCAACTGGTGAGTTGCAGGTGCAGCTCACCGTCTGCTATAATGACACAGAGCGTCTCCGGAGCAGCAAACTGGTATTCACTGATATGGCCAACTGGAATATTTCTGATTGCAGGAACGGATCAAGTGAAGGTTGTAGCTGGTCTCTATAACATGAAGACCGAACTAGGAGACATTTACATGATATATCAGTGCAGTCTTTAAAAACGCATCAATAAGCCGTTTGAGTCTGGTCTGTACCACTCGAGACTTGAGACTACTCGAGGTTGATAATCCAGTTTGATCTAGTCGAGTCCAGTGTGAATGTCTGTACTCACAAGGGGACTTATTGTTCCCTCTATGCTACCCAACATCTGGCAATCAAACCCTGAGAGAAAATGAGAGAGGGAATTTTTATCTACGGGCTTCATTAAATAGTGTCCAAACAATCCCGCTGGACGGCAGTGAGAGGCTGCGGGTTTATTGTATAGGTCAGAGTGTTATTCCTGTGTGGAACTGCAAATTAAGATGATCCGTTGCATTCGATACTTGAATGAAGTGGAACATGATAAGAAGATTTTGTCCTCACGGTACAACAACGAAAAGATGGACTAAACTAAAGCTCTTTATCTCCAGTTCTTTGCTGGTTGACTGTTAAAAACATCTTTCCCTCCAGCTTCCATTATACAATAAGTTATGATGTTGAGTGCGGAATAGAAATGTTCTTTCTAAGCTCAGAGCAAAAAAACTCATGCTTTAAAAAAAGAAAAAGGAAAAAATTGCTGGCTTAAGTCTGTGTTTCTATTGCTCAGCTTCAAGGTTCCTTTGCCTCAGCGTAAGGAGATGTATTGTAAGCACACCAAACATTTCAAGGGCCCAAAAATACCCAAGAATATACAGGATGCATGTGGAGGAAGACCTCAACGTATATTTGTATTCCACTTGGAATGATTGGCTTAGGCTGCTCTCGAATATTAGATGTCAAATAAACATTAGATACTAGAGTTCTTTGCAGCATGTGATTAGAAAACGTATCGCTTGATTTCCTTGTCAACTATGTATGTATATGTATATTGTCAAATATGTATATACAGACAACCAATATTGAACAAACATAGCTGTATCTATATCCATTTATTTGGTCCACCTGCACCATTTTCACAAATGACCATTACACCACACGTTACACGTTTAAGCCGCAATAATACAAACGTTAACTGTCCAATCAGATTATTTTATTATATTAGGCAGTGAGAAAGACTAAAAGCGAATGAATAGCCATCAATGACCAGACGGAGATATACAATTGGGTTTGATGTTCTGAAATAAAAGATATTCTACTTGTGTAGTTGAACACGCAGGGATTTGCATGTGTTTAAAACAGATTTATATGTGACAGAGAAGGTACTCTACGTACAGTTGCATTAAAAACATAAATTAAATCACTATGTACATGCGCTATGTGTGTATTTTCAAATTGGCTACTTTAAAATACAGTGGAATAGTGTGAGTGCAGGAGAGGCGGCAGAAATAAGACTTCCCTGCACTGTGCGAGATGTAAATATTGGATCCTTTTGGAGAGTGTTTTCAAAGGTCCTTTTGATGTTAGAAAACAGTATGGAAGGTGGTTAAAAAAATGATGCCATTTTGACTTTATCTGCAGTAGCACGGACCTGACTGTAACATTAACAACACTGTCCAGCTTCTGCCTCAACTGTCAGAGGACAGATAACCCTTTCACCAGGCCCTCCCCGCAACTGCTTTATTCTCAGCATATCTCTTGATCGCATTATCTTTCCATACCAATGAAAGTAACTTCTGTTTTCAAGCGGCTCTGCTCACGCCCTGGTGGTATTCCAGCACAAGAAGCAGCTGCCTGCTTTCATTAACGATAAAGGAAGTGACACACTATCTATTATTCATCGGAGCACACGGCCAACCCCTTCTAGCTGGGTCTGGCGTTAGCATTGCGCCTACATCCGCTCGTGGAAGTTAATGAGGATGGTGAAGAAAGTGCCCATTGCTAATTAGAATGTGGACTATCTGACTTCTGCGGTGGCAATCTGTTAATGGTGACTTGTCACCATTAACAGATGTTAAAATGGGTTGAAAAGCAGAAGGTGGCAACGTGAGGAAGGAAGGAAGATTGAGGAAAAAAGTGGAAAGTAGACAAGCCATGGGGAAGAGTAGGGAGGGGTAGTCGGGTATGGCGGGAGTGAGAGAAAAAAAACGATTGCAAAGAGAAGGGTGTTGTACATTGCCGCAGACTAAGATCACTTACAGCGCCGCCATGTCACATTACATCCCTTCTTGCCTCCCATGACAGGCAAAAACAACTCAAACACACACAAACATATGTATGAAATATTAAAATGTACAATATAACCAACTAAAACATGGGTT